ATATTTTTTTTTTTTTTTTTTTTTTGCAGTACAGAAATTGATCCAAATGCTAATATACCTGAACCTACACAATTTATAACATATATAGGAGCTAAGTAAGCTTCCTTCATGTTTACATTTGTTTGATAGGAAAGTAAGTCAATATTAGATAGAGAGCAATATTTAATTAAGAGGGAGGGACAGAAAGAGTAATGCCATATTGTATGGGTCCATGGGGTGATGCATTAATTATTTTGCTTTCTGAGTTCTCAACGGCCATCTGATCCAAGTTTCAATTGCCCCTGTAGGACCATCTCTCTCTCTCTCACTCTTTCTCTCTCTTCATACACACATGACATAATTGATAAAAGTGGGAGAAGGTCCACCACACTTTACAGGGATGGCCAACTTGCAAACTCTATTCTTAGAAGTGGAGATTACCAACCAAACTCATCCTTATAAAATCGACCGATAAAATAAGAATTGCCTCATTTATGTATTTTGGTCATAACATGAAATCTCCACATGTGTAGTAGTATTACAGTTCTATTGAGACATTGATCATCCTCACCCGGTTCTATTCTATGTAGTTAATTAATTAATATCTCCATTCCTCATATATATAACCTGTGTTAATTTCACCTTATCTACCCATTTCCCTCTTCTCTCCTTGTATGTGTCTCATAGGCACAACACAACACATTAGTAGAAAGAAAGAAAGAGCATAGATATAAAAGGTGCAGTGATGGCATCTCAAACAAAGGCCCATCGTCCCTTCTTCTTCTTCTTCCTGTGCTTATTCTTCATTTCAAATTTTTCATGCATCATTGCTTCTGTGCCAAAAGAGCAAGAGCAAGATCGAATCTCTTCTCTCCCGGGGCAACCACCAGTGACATTTTCTCAGTTCTCTGGTTATGTCACTGTCAACGAGCAACATGGTCGAGCACTCTTCTACTGGTTCACTCAGGCCACCACTTCCCCCGAGAATAAACCTCTTCTTCTTTGGCTCAATGGAGGTTAGTTTGTTTTTTTTCTCTCACTTTTCATTTTTTTTTGCATATATATTTGATCGAAATCTTACATCAACTAGATATGATGATAATAATATATATATAAATAAAAGATAATTTTTTTCTTCTAAATTAATTTTGTAAAATTGAATTTGAATCATATTTTTTTAAAGTTGTCTTACTTTCTTAAGATAGTATGAAAGACTATACTAACATTTTTGATGGTTGTTGGACTTCAGCCATCCACAATGCAGATTTCTTACAAACTTCGTACTTGAGTTCGATCGATATGATATTAATTCATAACTTAAAGACATTAGATTTTGGTTTTTCTTTTCTTTCACTTACATACTCACTTCTATCTAATGGGAAACTCTCCTTTCACACACACATCAACTTTTACCTTCCCTTCTTAATTACATTTCAATTTTAGTTTTTATTATTCAATTAGCTTCGTGAGTTTCCTTTATATAATTCCACTCTCTCTGGGGTTATGTTTCTGTTTCCATCAGGGGTTACCCTGAAAGGAAACATGTAGAGCCTAATGAATGATGTGTGTCTATGAAATCCATAAGAATATATTTAGCTTTCTTTATGCTCCTTTTCCCTCAAAAACTTTGAAACTTTACTGGAGTGGACTGTGTGATTCCATGCATATGTAGCGGTTGAAAAACTTGTCAAAATAGCATACTGAGGAAAGGATGGGGACTGAAAACTGTCTAGTTGATCTGCATATGTTGAGAAATGATTTTTTTTAAGAAATTAAATAATATTTTTCAAAAAACTTCTCACGAAATTCCTATATGTCAATATGTAAATATTAAATATGTAAATATAATTTATTAATAATTAAATATTAATCACTTGTTAAAATAAATACAAACAAAAATCTTTAATTTGATATTTAATATTGTATATCCTTATATGTCATGTTGCAAAATATTAAATCAGTCATGGTGATAAGTCTTTAGACTACGTTAAAAATTAATGATCAATGATTATCAAATTGATGATAAGATCAAAATTTTATATTTTTAAAATAGAAAGGTTAAATATCCTTATTTAAAAATATAAAACCAAAATTATAATAATTAAATAGAATTAAAGGAACAAAAGTGTAATTTAACTTTAGAATTATTTTAATTTATGATAAAAAATTTATTTTTTTATTTTTTATAAATACTTATGGAAAAGAATTAAATAAGATATTCGATGAAATAAATAAACAAAAATTAAAGAACATTAATTGCCGCTAAAAATTGTTTGGTACATTAAATTAGATCTTTCCTACGAAATAATTATGGATTTTGAATAGTGATGAGAGTTTATTTTACCTTATCTCACCGCAAGATATTGTATAAATTTATTTAATATATAATTAATACTATTTTAATGCTAATTTTAAATAAAATTTAACGACATATATTATATCTCATAACCAAATTTAACTAAAATTTTATTAATTAAGTAAAATATATTAATTACTATCTCTTTAAAGATTATATATATTAAATGATTAGAAAAAATAAATATTAATTAAAAATAATATATAAATAATAATTAAAAAAAAAAAGTAATATGAGAAATTTTTTTCAAACAAATATATAAATTAAACGAATTTATTATTATAAATTAAATTTACTTTTTTGAATGTGAATTAGATAATTGAATTTTATACATAGATATATTAAATAAAACCACATGCTTCACGTGAAAACCAAGAAAGTTTAAATCTAATTATAAATTGTGGCCAACAGAGTCAACATTTGAAAATTTGAGTACCAGCAATAATATTAATTATGTCTTCATTGAGCAGTGACTTTGTGCTTGGTAAGCAACTTTGAACTCAGATAAATGAAAGTTTACATACTTTTTAAATTTTTTTCCTGTTCCTTATTACAATCATGACCTGGAAAAACCATCACCACACATGCAGAAATGAAGAAATAATTACCATAGATATATGACATAAATGTATAAAGTGAATACATACAAATATACAGTATTTATCCTACTAACCAATGTCCTTTATATATGGCTTCTCCTTGTAATCTCTCTTGCATGTTGCACATGTTGACAAGTCTCGGTTGTATGTTTTGAAAGGGATGGGTGACAAGGACACATTATTATTTCTAATAAATATATTTTAATTTGATATTTTTAAAATTAAATAAAGGTTAATATGTTTAATACTTCGATTTTTATTTATTTTACAATTATTATATATCTTTTTAATTCTAAAACATTTGTTTCCTTTTTCCTTAAAACCATTTTACGGTATTAATGCATTGTTTTTTTTTTTCCTGTAGAAAAATGTAGAGTTTATTATAGACAAAAAAATATATATCAGACATGACTAAACAAAGTTTAGAACAAAGTGATATCACCTGTTGCTAATTTTACTATTGCAACAAATTGGGTATCATCAGGAGTACTAACATCTACATTCTATAATATACACTTCTTATTCATTTTTTTATTAATTAAAAATTATTGAAAATTATAAAATTAGGAAAAAAAAATATCAATAAAATATGGAATTTGCTAATTTTTATGTATTTTAATAAATTTAAATAAATTAGAAAATGATAGTAGCATTTTCCTTGTAGCATAATAGGGTGCCATCCCTATGAATCCTATCCAAAATGGCCAGTTAAACCCCCGTGGCGCACTTTAGTTAACATGTACTGTTACCTGCTAAGGTACACCAGGTAGGTGAGCATCACTTATGTTTGGGCTGAGGGTAAGAAATTGAGAACAAACCGTTGTTGAAAGGTAGCAGTTGCAGTACTCTAATATCTAGTTCTAGTTCTAGTTCTCCCTCCATAATAACAAAAATAAAAAACAAAAAACCATGAATACAAACATGGGTCCTCATGATCCTATATCCTATTATTCCTTCTATTCCTTTCTTGCACTTATATTTCCTCGTTAGAACAAGGAGTAGTAAACAAAAGCAACAGAACGTAACCTTTTCTTCTTTTTGTTCTCTAGCACTCGTGAAACATAGAGCAACATAAAGTGAAGGAACTTTTCCTCTCTGTCCCTCTTGAAAGATGCTCATTCATTCATTTCAATATTCCATATTCTTTCTGTGTTTGTCCCATTCCCTTGCCCCCAAGCACGCGTATTGAGATGGCCAGAATGGGTTGGGGATAGTGATCTTCACGTCATGCCACTGTGGGGTTAACTCTTCCTATTCCATGACCCCTCACACTTTGTAATTATCGTACCTACGTACGTGACCTCAAATTTAAGGTTTTCACAATGGCATTCACATTCCTCTCAAATCTACCATCAGCACTATCCAAATATCGTAACCCATTAACCATGGTAGTAGTTAGTTGAAGATTTGTAAGTTATAAATGGTTTATTTTACATTTATCTATGGATAATGTATTTGTCCATTATGTGAGTTATATAACATAGAAATGGTAAATTCTACTTATAACAAAGAATTGTAAGTATAAGTATGTTATTAGTTTTACTTATACTAAATATATATAGGTAGAAATAAATTGTTGTTATATGTATAATTAGCATGTATATAAGAACAAAACATTCGAAATTATAAGTCACTTTTAGTGAATTAATGTTTATCTTATATTATATATCATTTAGTTATTTAAAAAAATATTGCATTAAAAAAATAGGTAATTTATAATCTCATTGAAAATATTAAAAAAAAAATTTTGTGGTTAACTACTCTTATATAGAATCATGTCTTACTAAATTTAAACTTTTCAATTACTTAAAAAAAATATTATTTATTTGTGATAAATTATTAATTTATTTATTATGATAAATTGTTAACTTTTATAATAAATAAATAAGTAACAAAGTATCATCTAATTGGTTGACAGGTACACTCTTAAATAAATTATTAATTTATTTATGATAAATTGTTAACTTTTATATAATAAATAAAGTAACAAAGTATCACCTAATTGATTGACGGGTACACTATTAATATTTATAATTGTTAATTGTTAATCGATTATAACGTTTGCTTATTCATTCATTTATCTATGATGTGCTAATAATTTATGGGCCTAGTGAAGGTTTTGCCAACTTTATGAAAGAATGTCTTATATACATGTTAACCTAAAATTTAAATCAATGATCACCTAAAGAAAACATTTGTATATATAGAAATAAATATTTTGTCGTTGGTGTTGTTGTAGGGCCTGGTTGTTCATCGGTGGCATATGGAGCATCAGAGGAAATTGGACCATTCCGTATAAACAAAACTGCCTCTTCTCTATATCTTAACAAATATGCATGGAATAAAGGTAATTCATCAAAGTAATTAAAACTGAGTTTCAATTTTAATTTCCTATGTTTCACTATACCTTCTAGAAAAACAATATGAGAAAAGAATTTAATTGTTATTATTTTTTTTTAAAAAATGGTGTTAATTCAGAAGCAAATATCCTCTTTCTTGAATCGCCTGCTGGTGTTGGTTTCTCATACACAAATACCAGTTCTGACCTGAAAACTTCTGGGGACAAAAGGACAGGTAGAATTTGATGCTCTGATGAAGTTTGTTGAATAGTCACCATCCATTTTTATTACAATCATTACTACTATCATATTTGTAATTAATATGAATTTACAATTTTGTAAAAACAGCTCAGGATGCTCTCATTTTTCTAATTAGATGGGTGGAAAGATTTCCCCAATATAAATATAGAGAGTTTTACATTGCTGGGGAGAGCTATGCAGGTACATAAGCTAGCAACACCAATTTTATTTATTTTTTACTTAATTGTACTTTTTACAATCATATTTTACAATTTTATGAAATTTTTTCATCCTACTTTTGGATTTATGTATTTTGTCGCATAATATTTTAATTTTACATATATTATCATTTCTTTATCTGATTATTTAATGCCATTACTTTTGTAACACATTAATTATTAATTTAAAAATATATCACATCAATAATTAATATGTCTTATAAATAATTAAAATATCATATCAATAATTAATTAATTATCGAACAATTAAATAACAAGATAATAAAATGTACAAAATTACAAATTATCTGATAAAAATTTTAAAATTATAAAATACGAATGACAGAGCGTAATAAATCTTAAACCCTACACAAACAATCCTCAATTACTAAAGGTCATATAAAAAATTTAATTAAAACACATTGATACTTTTAAAATAAATTTATATTGTCATTCGATTATAAATTGTAGAATATACTAAATTATTAACTTTTTTACTCTATTTTAAAAAGAATTATATCTAGGCTAGCTGATTTAGAGTTATAAAAAAAACATTTATAAGTATTTTAAAGATAAAACAAAAAAAATTATAAATTAAAATTAACTTATACAAGAGTTAATTTATAAAAAAAATCATATTAGTTTCTTTAAAAACTATATTATAAATAATCTTACTAATAATTTACATTACTAATAATTTACATCAAAATTTTAGGAAAAAAAACTACTATTATTAATTATATTAGTTTACTATTAGTATTTTAAAACAATTAAAACTATTTCTCTCTCTTCTTTTATTTTTAACTTAAAAAAAGGTGATAATATGTTACCAATTCTTGTATATATAACTAAAATGATTAAATATGTTTTTAATCTTCCAAAAATTGACTCTATTAAATTTTAGTCTTTTATAATTTTTATTTTATTTTAGTTCTCCAAATTTATGTACCTATTTTTAATTCTTTTTTAAACACGATTAAATTTTGTTGTTAAAATATATCACCTCAAGATTTACATCACCATAAGTTTTATTGACATAAAATATTTTTTAATTAAAAATACTAATTATTTTAGAGTTAATTTTTAGCATAAAAATTAATTTTAAATTTAAAAGTTTTTACTAATTACTCTCAAATGAAGGTATAAAGGTTTTAGTAATTCCTTTTTCACTTGAACAAAGAATCTCTCACCAAACTCTAAATAAAATCTTCTCACAAATTCAAAGTAAGTTTTTTTTTCTCCATCTTCATGACCATGTTTAGTTTTACCCGTTAGTTGGCAATACTCTAAGTTTCAAATTCTCAATTCTTGACTACACTGTATCAAGTGGCTCTAGAAGCTTTACGTATATTAATAACTCTAAATAACACTCATTTTTTCCCTCCCTGAGTTTCAACATGTTATCTTTAAAAAAATGAGAGGTCATTGACTTCTTTCCACTAGTACAAAAGGGATAATTTACGTCGGTTATTTTAAGTTTTTTACGTCAGAAAAAAGTCCGATGTTAATGCGGGAGACGTAAATTTACGTCGGTTGTGATAGCCGACGTAAATTTACGTCAGACATTCCCAAGAGCTGACATAAAAAAGTTATAAACAAAAAAAAATAACGAGTGCAAGCAGAACGGCCCATTCTGCTTGGAGAACGGGCCGTTCCACATGATATTAACTAATATATTAACAAAGGGTGATCCACCCAAACATGAAGAAGAGGATAATATTAACTAATATATTAATAGATCAATACATACATTTATTTTCAACAAGTTAGCTAATATATTAAGAAAGGATTTTCCAAACTAACCTCAAACGCGAGTTCAATGCAATCGGTCAAAAACTCAAGAACCACCCAAACGCCCAAACGTACACTCAAATGCAATACACTCAAATCGAAATATTGACTAGAAGACTCGTTTTGCACATACACTCAAGATATATATAATTCAAAACACTTAGGGCGTGGGAGAAGAGGAAGTGGCGCGGGAGAAATTTGTAGATATTTTATATCGGACCTTATAAAGGCCGACGTAAATTGGAAAATCTACGTCGGACACACTACAACAAAATTTAGTATTACCGACAATTATTTATTGACAACAAATTAATTGCCTCTATTTTATTATTTAATAAAAATATTAATGACTATTATATAATGACCACTAAAAATGTATTTACATCACATCAAAATTTACTATTAGCGACAATTATTTGTTAGAAAAAACTTAAGTCCCACATCGACTAGAAATAAAATAATTAAAAAGTATATAAGTAAATGATAACTCTCACCTTACAAGTATGTTTTATTAGGTTGAGTTTGACCTATAACTTACTATTCTAGTCAGTATTTAGGAGATAAGATAATTAAAAAAATTAAAGAATATATACTTAGAAGATAACATCTTCTAAGTCCCACATCAATAAGAAATAAGGTAACTAAAGAGTATTTGTACTCATCTTACAAGTCCTACATCGATTAGAAATAAGATAATTAAAAAATATTATAAATCTTTTCTTAAACTTTTAGTGACAATTTTAAATGTCAATAACAAAGGACACAAAAAGTTATACACTTTTCCCGACCATTATGAGGGTCTTTACCAGCATATAGAATAATTGCTGGTAAATATTTTAGCGACACTGCATACAATGGCTAATCTGTGAAATGCTGGTAAAAAAATTTGTAGCGATTTTTATTGTCATTAAATGTCATTAAAATTTCATTTTATTGTAGTAACACAAGCTATATCCGACATAGATTTTCAAATTTACATTAGCCCTTATTAGGTCCGACGTAAAAAACTTGATTATAATTTCAAAAATGCCACCGCATTTTTTTAATATCAGATTTTTCTTTGTTCGACGAGAATACAGTGACGTAAATTTCATATTTTCTACTAGTGTTCATTGAGGATGAAAGAAAAATACAGAAATCAAAAACAGTGAAAAGTTTGAAGTGAAAAAGTAGATTTTTCCCTAAATCTTAACTTAATCCTAAAATAATTAATATTTTAAATTAAAAAAAATTTCATGTCAGTTGAACTAATAGTGATTTAGGTATTGAGGTGACCTATTATAACAGAAAAAATTAATGTTTAAAAAATAATTAAAAATAAGTATTACATAAATTTAGAAAACTAAAATTAAGAAATTCTTTAAAATCAAATAGAGTCAATTTTTGAAAGATTAAAAATATATTTAATCTTAATATGTGGTGCTATTGTATGAAAATTGTTTCTACTAAATAGCTTTTTCTTTATAATTAATTAATATCACGATCAAAAATCTCTCTCAAAAGAAATTGTATAGAAAATTAAACGCCTAAATGGAAAAGTAACACTGTTATATCATTATATTGATAGAAAGGTGTGGTCTTTATGTAAGCAAAAATGGAAGAGTGTCGATTATAATCAGCTTATTTTCAGTGTATATGTACGTGAATTAATTTGTCCAATTTATTTATCCAAGTTTTATACTGCTAGAAGCTAACATTCAATTCTATTATCTTCTATTTAGGGCATTATGTCCCCCAGTTGGCTAAGAAAGTCCACGATTATAATAAAAACCATCCTCATATCCTCAATCTCAAAGGGTTCATTGTAAGTCAATCAATTCTTATGACTCGATCCACTATAACGTATTTTTCTTTATAATTTTTCAAATGTGTGACAATTAACGTAGGTGGGAAATGCTGTGACTGATGACCACTACGATGGGGTTGGAACTGTCACGTATTGGTGGAGCCATTGTATGATATCTGATCAATCATACAAATCAATCCTCAAATACTGTAATTTCGCCGAAAAGAAAACAACCAAAGAATGTGACGATGCAGTGAGTTATGCGGTTAACAAGGAATTTGGAAACATTGATCAATACAGTATCTATACACCTTCGTGCCCAACATCACAAAATGATACTGTGAGGCAATATGCTAGGTTCAAGAGCAGAATTTTACGTAGGATTTCTGGGTATGATCCATGCACTGAGAACTATGCAGAGAAATACTATAATCGTCGTGATGTGCAGAAAGCATTGCATGCAAATGTTACAAAGATTCCTTACAAATGGACTGCTTGCAGGTTTGTTTTCTAACTATGATATACGAATATTTTTCGGTGGAGAAATTCTTAAAAGTATTTCTAAACTCTGATAATAAAATTACACTATGCTTTCTAATTAAGATTGTAAACATGCTTCAATTCATCTAATTGAAAAACGTTTAACACATGCTTTGCGTTGGTTGAACAGTGATGTGCTCAATAAACATTGGAAGGATTCTGAATTTTCCATGTTACCCATTTACAAAGAGTTAATTTCAGCTGGTCTCAGAATCTGGGTTTTCAGGTATAGTTTTTCTAAACAACTGTATGAAAAACATGAGTACAAAACAATTTTACACAAACATCTGATAAGATTAGATCACTTAACCATATCATCTTATTCATTAATATAATGTAACATGTTAAAATCTTATCCAAACACTATAATACAATGCCTGGCTTAACTTTTTTCTAGTTTTTCTTCTCATTAAAAAGAAAACTGGGCTAAATACAGATGAAGAATAACTCTTAAAACATAAACGAGCTTATTTTTATTATAAAAAAAAAAAAAAAAAGGAGAAGAAGAATAACATTTTTTTTTTGAAAAAAAAAAGCTAAAATGAAGCAACTTCTAAAAATAAGTTACACACCTTAATCGCCCTCCCTCGTATTTGGAATTGGAACTAATCAATATGTAACAAAAAAAAAAAACAATTGACTTATATATAAACTATTTTGTAGAAATTCTATTATTCTATTAATTTCTCTAAAATCTTATTTTTAATTCATACATAAATTAGTCTTTTTTTTTAACTTAGAGATAAACTTAATTATTTTTATTTTATATTTTACTTTTCTCTCCTAAAATACTTATAAAGAAACTTATCCAAACATTAATTCACTTGTGAAAAAACACTCATGAGAATCAAGCATCCTAGTGACCTGTGATCCAAACCCCAAGTTAGAAGTTCCTTGGTTATGCAGAGAATCTGATATCAGTATATCTAAAATGCAATAGCATGACTTGTGTTATAATGCAGTGGAGACACAGATTCAGTGGTTCCTGTAACTGCCACTAGGTTTTCTCTCAGCCATCTCAACCTCACCATCAACACTCGTTGGTATCCATGGTACTCAAGTGGCCAGGTATTTACCAAAGCTATAAAAAAATGTTAAAAAGGCATAGGTTAAATTTAAGTTTGATGTCCTCTCCCTATAACAAAATAGATTTTTAGTGATATTTAATATTGTTTTAAGTAACAATAAAAATAGTTGAAAAATCTTTCATCAATATTTTCACATTAACCATTGTATGCAGTTTCGGTAAAATATGTATTGATAATTATTCTACGTATTAGTAAAGATCATTATAATAATCGAGAAAAATATATAAATTTTTGTGACATTTTTTATTGATATTTAATATTTTTTTGTTATTGTCAATAAAAGTTTAAGAAATGATTCATAACTTATATACTTTTTTAATTATCTTATTTTTAGTCGATGTGAGATTTGAATTTTTGTCAATACATCCCCTCAAATTTAACATTATTCTTGGTATTAGTGGGTAGGGAAAGGAATAGACCAAGCCTTATATGCATATTAGTAAAGATCATTATAATAGTCGAGAAAAATATATAAATTTTTATGACATTTTTTTATTGATATTTAATATCTTTTTGTTATTGCCAATAAAAATTTAAGAAATGATTCGTAACTTATATACTTTTTTAATTATCTTATTTCTAGTCGATATGGGACTTAGATTTTTTCCAATACATCCCCTCAAATTTAACATTATTCTTGGTATTAGTGGATAGGGAAAGGAATAGACCAGGCCTTAAATAGGAGTCTATGGTCTGACCTCTTTAAAGTCTGACCTAGCTTAACTTGTTTAATAAAAAAGTTAGACTTTTAAAAGAACTTATTTATATAAAAAGGTCAATCTTAGACTTATAAAAAATTCTATTAAGTCTAATAAATCAACCTATTTATTTATATAATATAATTAAATAAATAATATATATTATTAAAAATATAGATAAAAAAATAAATTTATAAAAAAATAAATTTTTCCTTCAACATATATAATTATTTTATTATACAATTATTTTTTATTATTATATTTTATAAGCTTACAATATGTGTATGAGTATACATCAACATATATAATTACACATGAATTGTTCCTTCAATAGAAAATTATTCAAATTTTCTCCTATATTTCTTTTAAAATTTAAATTTTAATAATATTGAGTAAACTATATTTTAAAAATATTCTTTTTATTTTTAAAAATTAAATTTATTGGCCTAATTAATATTAATAATTTAAATAGACTAATAGGCCAAACTTTAATTTTACCTATTCTCATCCCTATTAGTGAGTGATCTGATACCAACTTGAAATAATGAATTATAGGTCTAATTCAATCTTACAAAACCAACTTGTAAGGTGAGAGTTGTTATTCACTTATATATTCTTTAATTATTTTATATCTATAGTTGATGTGTTACTTAAATTTTTTCTAATAAATAATTATCGCTAATAATAAATTTTAATGTAATGTAATTACATTTTTAGAAATTAATATATATATTAATCATTAATAATTTTTATTAGATAATAAAATAGAAATAATTAGTTTATTGTATTAAATAATTGAGACTAATAATAAATTTTATTATTGTGTATAATCATAAAAGAGTTTGAATAAATTTTCCTTTTAATCTCTATTTTGAGTCTCTATTTTTATGTATGCATTTAGTCTTCATATTTTGAAAAAATTGTAATTTTGATTTATATGATAATTCATCATGAGATAAATATAAAATCTTTTATACCCTACGAGTATATTGTAATTAAATTCAGCATAGGTTTCCAAGGCAACTTGACAAGGATTGTACCTTTGGGGTTTATGTAGGTAGGTGGATGGACAGAAGTGTATGATGGACTAACCTTTGCAACAGTAAGAGGAGCTGGACATGAAGTACCATTGTTTCAACCAGAGAGAGCTTACACACTTTTCAAGTCTTTTTTGGAAGGGAAAAAGCTACCAAAATCCTGACATGTTACTAGTTTTATTTTAATATTTCATCATTTTATCTTTTATGAAATTCAATTTAATTGGTATCCATAATCCCGTGGAATTGATGGGTGAAGGCATGCAGCAGCCTGGATAGAGAACAAATATCATTTGTTCATATTAGTGTCTGTAATTATTGATTTGTAAACAATATAAGTTGTATTGCTCAATAGTGGTGGGCAAATGAAACTAACATAAATTGTTAAGTCTATAAAAAAAAGGGAAAAAATCCTGCCTAAAACCAGCAAAACTCTCAATTTTCCTTTCAAAGTAGTTTGGTTTGATTTTTTTTTATTTGTACTTTCAATTACAAGAATCTCATTACTTCATCTTACTTTGTAGTTTCAAAAGGTTGTATAAACAACAACAAAGACCTTTTCATTGTATTATTATGTTCACTACTTCTTATACAAACTTTCATTGTATTATTATGGTCACTACTTATATAAACTTTTAGAAACATAAATATCGATTATGTGAATCAATTAGTGTAAGATTATTTTAAATAGTAATATCAAATTCAAGTCTTAAATATAAAGATGTATTAAATACTTGAAGAAAAATTTCCATTCATAATAATTTTATCTAAATGTTTCTAATAAAATTCTTTAAGAAAAAAAAAAGTTTTCAAAACAAAAACCAAAGTAAGATCGACATGACAATTTTTTAATTGAAACACCATTTTCTCAATTAATACCATCCTTATTCACTATAAATTGGTCATTTTCTTGCAAATACGTAAAGTAATTTGAAGTCTCACTTTCTTCAACTAGATATTGGATTCTAATCCCTAACATCAAATGTAGAGATTTTCTACCCTTCTACGATATATCGGATTTTAGTGCCTGGCAAATGGTTTTCCACTACATTCAGTGTTTTAAAAATTTTGAAAAATAAATTATTTCAATAATCAATTATATGTATAACCAATTATGTATTAGATCATAGACACTACAAGAAAATGCTAAAATAGTTGTGAAAAATAAGCGTCGACTAATAGTTGATGAAAATACTATCGAAAAAGCCGACGCTATTTTAAGATGTAGCGTCGGTTTTTTTGACACTAAATTTAAATTAAGTTTAGTATCGGAAAAGTCGACTCTATTTTTTAAATATAGTGTCGGCTTTTCCGACACCAAACTTAAAATATTTTAAATTTAGCGTTGAAAAAATCGACGCTACATCTTAAAATAACGTTAGCTTTTTCGACAGTATACGTGCTTTAAAAGAGATAAAGATAATTATTTTAATGTTATATACACATAATGTGTTGTGGTGCACTTGGTTATCAAGTTCACTTAAGACCTCAAAGTTCACAAATCGAGTCCTGAGAATTTTAAAATTATGAACGAATGTTAAAAATACGTACGAATAAATGATAAACTAGAAAAAATAAAATAAATTGTGTCAATGTAGTGTCAACTTAACCAACAATAAAAAATAAAAATAAATAAATTTGTTATCGACAGCTTAGCCGACACAAAAAAAAATTTGTGTCGACTTATTTAGCATCAGCAAAAAATTAACAAATAACTAACAATATTACGTTAATTTTTATGATTTAGAATTTCTAAACTACAAAATTTTTGTAGTGTAAGCATCAAATATCTTCTTTTCATATTCACAATTTTTAGACTATTTTATCCTTTTAACAATACATAATTAAGTTACAGTTTCTTCATATCTCACCATACTCTCTTAAGTAACTACCAATTGTATTATTATTTTTTTTTCAAAAATACATGAAGTGCTCCTTTTCCCCTTGTTATAAATGATCATAGTGAGAATGAGTTTTTATTTAGAAAAGTTTGCTGAAAAACGAGTTTAAGATTTAGTTTCATTTGCATATAACAAAAAAATTTATTTTTTACATAATAAATTAGCTTTAGAAGGAAAGAAAAAGTTGAAAAATAATTATAGGTTCCAAAATTTTCAAAAACATGAAAACATTCTTTTTTTCAAAAGAAAACAAAAACATTTTAAAATTTAGATATTGTCCCAAATTCAGCCTATTTTGGAAACAGTTTTTTTTTTTACTCAAACAACTCAAATATCCAAAACTAATGTCTCAAACACACTAATTCAATTCACCGGAAAACAAAAAAAAGATATATAAATAAAAAAAGAGTTTCAGCTTGTAAATCAACAACCTCATAACCATGGAAGGTTTTTTCTCTATTGATAAAGACTAGGATAACAGGACGCATAGAATAGAATTTTCACCATTCAAACAAAAAATAAAGGCAAGAATAAAATGTGGAAAAACAGAAACCCCACCTTTTCAAATAATTCCAGGATTACTTTTTTGAATAGCCAAGATTGCAAATTCACAGACATAGTAAATGAAGAAATAAATAAGCCTATCTGCCATGTTTGTGAAAAATTGAGGCCCATGTCGTAAGTCTAGAATAAAAGTATTCATCACTTCAACCCTTCACTAAGCCCCGGTGGCATTCCTAAGCTCTGTGCAAGATTACTCATCCTTTCCTTCATGGCCTACAAACATAAGCAATAGTATGCTTTTTTCAACTCAATAACCACAAATGCAAATGAATTTTTGTTCTTCCTCCTGAAAATAAAGATTTTTACCTGGACACTCTTCTGGTGGGCATCCTTGTATGCCTCAGTGATTAAAAGAGAGAGTTTCTGCAATCCACAGATATTTGAAAATAAATAGCAGTTTATTATTGGAATTAAAGACCACAGTTTGATTTATAAATAAAATTAGGGTCCTATTTAGACAAACCTCATCTATAAACACTCATAAAAGAAAAAATGAAGGTAAAATGATTTTAGTAAATGGCGAAATGGGTAGAGGGTTTTTAAAAACCAAAACATTGTTCTTGATAATTGACATGCAAGAAGAAAAAAAAAAAAAAATAATAATAATAATAGTAATAATAATAATACATGAAAGGATTTAGCATAGTGTGTAATCCACTATCCTACGATGGAAGAGGAGAAAATCAATGGAAGAATTTGATTTTGGTATCTTTGAATATGACATTTTAAATGTCCAATCCAGTTTCACCATTGATATAACAGAAAATGGTGTATATAAACACAACATTACTTAAATTGTTTACTTACTTCAGATCCCAATTCCATTGCTGCCTCGGTAATTTCCGTTCTTACAGGTTGCTGGTTCCCTGACAGAGTTACCTAAAAATTATACTTCATCATGAGTAACCGAAGGAAATCATACTTAAAAATTAATATATATTGATAATGCAACTCAAAAATCATGATTATGAATAAAGCTATAAAAACATATTGGAGTTATAAAAAATAAAAAAAATTACGTTACGTACAAATAATCAATTATATTGTTCCATGAAAAACCTCATCTAATGTATAGTATTTATATAGTATAAATATTCATATGACTATACAAATAAAGTTCCTCATTAACTTTTAAAAGGAAAACAATAAAGGGTAAATCAAGGAACAATTAATTCTTCTGTTCTGTGAACTACATAAAAGGATAAAAACACAGAGAGAAAGACAAACAGAAAGAGAGAAAGGGTGAGTGAACAAAAATCATACCTTTACTAACTCACCCTCACAGTAACCATCAAACTCTGCCCTGCATAATAAAACAAGAAAAATAACACATTCAGACCAACTAGTGTAAAAAAAATGAAAGAAAGAAAGAAAGAAAGCAAAAGTAAAAGTAAAAGCTAAAATGGTATAATAAAAGAACCATACGCTGCAAGTTCTTTCTGCACCTTCACAGCTTCAACTTGGACAACCATTTGTGCCTTCTTCACAGTCTCGTAAAGATTTTGCATGTTTCCAAGAATTCCTGCCTAAAGTGATTCCACAATAAAATGAAATCTGTTAATCATGAATCTAATGCTCAGTGTACAAATTAAACACAAACTACTAACAATATATGGAAAGTGTTATATTGTGTGAAAAATGAGATAAGTAAATCAAAACCCTCGACAAAAAGTAAAAAACTACTTAAAACTCATGACTTCCCTAAGTAACCACATGATTTGGTTGGTGTTTTCATCCTATGATCAAGAAAATCACAATGGTTAGGAGACATTGTTTGGTATGTTTGTTGAATGTTGGCCATGCTATAGGACCTTGAACCGTGTTAAGATTGAAATAGAATAATAACTCAAGAGTGGATGAATAAGTTCTTACGAGTATATGGAATGGAGCTAATTTCCTTACAATGGTGAAAACAACACTTACATAAAAAGCCAACCCAAATAACCTTTGCCCTCAGCTCCTCCACACCCCCCCCCACAATAACCTTCTCCTATTCCCCTCTCATTCATTCCTCTCCTTTTCATTCCGTATCCCCTTCCAAATTGTCTTTGGGCCCATTTTTCGCTCGCACGATCCTTTCAATATTTTTCTTTCTCCTAATAGACCGAATTCTCTTTAGTGGTCTGGTAGGAGAGGCTACACTTTTATTGCAAAACATGTAATCTACGTTAGTTCATTTGGTTTAAGGTAAAATAATTGTAAGTTTTTTTTTGGCTCAGCATCTGATTTGGAATAAGATTACGTGTTCCCCTAATTATTTACGTGTTTCACTTCAATTTGGTGCGGATGCATTTAATTAATTAAGGGATTCCCCTAATTGATAGGCAGAGACAGAGGGTAACTTCATTTCATTTATGTTTACTCTTTTCTTGTTAGCTTTGTTTTCCTTTTATATTGAGGAGGACCCCTTATCCTCCAAATTCCAGGCAATTTTCTTCATAATCTTGAATTTGTTCTTTATATGCAAGGAAAACAACTTTCACAGTAGTCATCAGCTCCTATTTCACATAGACCACTCCAAAAATGCCACATTTAACAAGATGTGCACTAATGCTGTTATAAAGTGGCTTGTGTTTGGGGGTGTGTACTGTGTTCTGGGTACGGCCCAACAAGTGACCCAACCTGAAAAGACCTGGTGCATGTGACCCATAAGAATTTTTAATGCAGATAAGTCATGGAAGTCATAGTTATCAAAATCACATTCGGATTTGTAGAATTCTACATGTTCAGAGAGCCCCTCTGCTCCTGATTATATTACCATGGCTTCATTGTTTTGATGGGACAACGTAAAATTGCATGTTTGATCATAAACACACTGGGTTTATGCATGTTTAGGACTGTTTTCACAGCAAAGCTTGATGTGTGTTGATATGGGTTGGACAATAAACTTAGTCCAGCCAAAACTCTTTGAATCCTTGCTGCGTGGGGGCTAGGGGTTACTAAAACCCCTGCTGGTGCTGCCATGTTTCTGCATGGTGCCATGAATGATATCTTAGTTTGCTTCTTCAACTGCAACCTTTATCTGTTTTTACCATCTGGTTGTCCATCGGTGTATGAAGTTTTGTGCTCCTTTGGTCTAAATAACATAAAATGTCTAGAAAACAATGTGCTAAAGCTCTAAGTAACTAAAAAAGTAAACATTAGAGTTCAATCTTCCTCATCAAGATTAAAGTCTTCCTCTCCTTCAAATTCATCACTCCCACTAGCATTATAATTATATTCTTCCTCCACTTCATCTTCATCATAATCCTCTTCTTCCACTACTTCCATCACATTTTTTTCCTTTTTCTTTCCTAGATGTAGATGCAATAGTTGTTGCCTTCTTCACTTGTTTGTCTCCTAATGTATTTCAAAGATTCACCGGCCTCATTGATGGTGTGGGACTGGGACCAGTTCCAGCAGCACCAGCCCCTGAGCTCTGATTCTTTGGTTGATCAGTGTTCATGATTCTGCTGGGCCATGGTTCTGCTGATCACCGAAGAATAAAAATGCCCAAATAAAAGAAAAATGAACAAAGAAAAAGAAGAGAAAGAAAAGGATCAGGAAAAATAAGTGAACAGGAAAAAAAAGGAAAGAAAAAAGAAGAAAATCACCGGAATGTTGGAGAAGAGAAAAAAAGAGAAGAAAAAAGAAAAACAAAAACAGATAAAAGGAGAAAAAATTACAAACGAATGGTGAGTGTTGTTGGAGAAAAGATGAAGCAAATCACGAGAATGTCGACGGAGAGAGTCGTCGGAGAAAATGAAGCGAATCGCTCGAGCAAGTGAGGGAGAAGAGAGTTACAATGGGAGTTGAGGCAGTTCGTCACTCAATAGAAAAGGAGAAGAGACTTACGAGTGTTAGGACAAACTGCGGAGAGGGAGGATCCGAATGAAAAGCCAAAAATACCCTCATTTTTTTAAGTATTTTCAGTTTTTTTAAATCCGCACAACGGACCACAATTTCCGCCACAATTGCACCCACTACGGCCACTACACAAAACTGCTCTGCTCCAAGTTTCCTTTAGCGGCATGGAGCCACTCCACGATTATCTCAGCTGCTACGACCACTATTTACTACTATGATGGTTCCCCTGTTTCTGCCACTTAATTTCTGTCCTTCCACAGAAATATCATCCAGCTACATTTATTTTCTTATAAAGTTGGTATAACCACATGAGCTCACACCTATTTGTATTTTGACTTGAAAGATGTTTAAATGCTAGCAGTAACTTGTGGGTGTAATTTTATAGTCTTGTTGCAGTCTGAAAATTTTTCCTATTTACAAGTTTGACAACCTTTGATGGAGGCAATCAGACTGTGCCTATATAAGAAGATTAGTGGTTAGCTTGCTGAGTGTAGTAAAACTAAGCATCAGTGAAGATTACAAGGTACTTACATTCATCATTAACCATATTAAATCTCCACCAGCTTCATTTGTCGGAAGTAGACCTAGTGTTTGGCATGGGTCAAATGTTAAATTTTTGTCACAATCGATCTCTTTGTTAGAATCATCTTCATAGGAATCTTATAGTGACAGCAGTGTTATTTGGACTAGCAATGCACTAGTACTTGAACTAGAATAGTCTTATACATAGGAGCACTAGGAAAGTGTTTTACATCTCATCTAACATTTCACGTCCAAAATATCAAAACACCACAATTGTTCAAAATCCTATTGGGAAAAATATATTCTATAGTCTCTCTTTCATTTAATCCCTATGATTTCAACAATCCATGTTTTCTGCTTGTGCATAGCTAGAACAAATTACAGAAGAAAAAGTAATGCCACAGATCTTGAAGCTTATGTTTGCACAGACGAAAAAATTTGAATATGATTTCTTTGGTCCCAGGCAAAGTAGGTAATGGAAGAAAGCAGGTCAGAGTGGCTAACTTCAAAAACACTAATAGAAGATTGCATAGAAACCACTACCACAAAGAAAGAAGCTACAATGGAAAAAGTTCACAAATTTGAAGAAACAACATTTTATGATAAAAGTCAAATGTACTGGGCTTCTCCCACAACATTGTTATTGCCAGTTACCATAGAAGAACTGCACTCTGTTGTAGTGATGGCATGATAGGGAAACACACAAGGTCTATTTAGGCTGTGATGCAGCATGTAAAAGTAACCATGTTGAGCACAAAACAGAGACACACCTAATTGCTAAAAGAACTATGCTTAAAACTGGTTGCAAGTGAAACCAGTCCAGGGGTATTAAATATAGCTGTTGCAAATTTTGTGGGCATGGTCGAAGGTCAGACGCCTGAAAGGCTGAAATCCCTAATTTGCTGCAGCACAAGTGGATTTTTGTGAAATAAAAGTAAAACAGGAAAATTGCCACCATGTAGAACAGTAACCACTATTGTGCCTATTGTCAGCTGTAAAGGGCCACTATTGTTGAGTGGAGTGCCAGAAAAACCAAATGTTTTCCCACATGCATTAAGTAGCACACAAGAATCACTTCACTTCGGCACAATAGTGACTGCAGCAAAACAACCCTGTTCCTGACTCATGAGCTTATGAATATCATAGTAGTTAATCCTAGATTAGGAGGAGTAGTCTACCCCAAAAAACACCAGGCCAGTATAGCAAATTGTGGAGCAGCTGCTACTTTAGATGCAAAAAAATTTCGAATACACATTCTCAAAACTGAAAATGTACTCAACAATCAGCCAAAAGACTGAACCATCATTAATACTTAACAATAAGCCAGTAACAAGATGAACAGGTTGAAGAGAACAGAGAAGTGTAAGAAAGGGCTGGAATAATTGTGTTACCTCAGTCTGGCCCAATGTTACATTAGAAAGATGTTGATAGAACTGGTACCAACCGAATATGAAATCCAGATTTAATAAAAATAGAATGCTTAATTAGTGGATGTCAATATTTATTATCAATCATTACCATTTATATTTCCGTTATGTATTATTCTCTTTATTGTGTAATTGTTCAGTTATCACATGTACTTATAAATAGGTTACTCCTTTCCCAAAGATAATACACCAGTCGGATTCTTTTCTCTATCTCATACTGTCTTATTTCTTCTCTCTACTTTTTCTTCCTTTTATAACACGTTATCAGCTATGTATGTGTGTGTGTGTATTCAATGTGATCAACTCATTTTCAACCTAAAAAACAAAATGTAACATACAATTGGGTCAAAACATAGTATCAACTCAAGCATGCTTCAAAGCATCACAACCTAATAATCTCACCATACAATTCGAGAATCCAACACCTCAACACATTATTGATAAAAATAAACAACATGAAACTCAATAATCCATCAACGACAAAACATTCCTTTACCTCAACTCTGAGCAAAAGAGATGAAGGAGGAGAAAAAGAAAAAAGGTGACTCCGTCAAGAACTTCGTACGACACATCTTGATTTTTAGCAAAAATCTTTGAATCAACACCCACCATGGATCAACAATAATCACCTATGCCTTCGAGGAACATAGAAAAAGGAAGGAAAACTTCGAGATTCAAGAGCATGTCTCGCTAGTTTATCTCTCTAAGATTCTCAATAATGAATTTATGAA